AACACTGGAAGGAAAATGCTCTGAGGAAAGCAGCCTGTCCTGTAGGCTGCTGGAAGTGAAGGTGATGTGATATGAAGCCAGCAGCACATACCAAACAGATCACTCAGGCAGTGAAACATCTGTCCTTGGAGCCAGGATTGAACAGGATGTGATACCAAGTAACCCTCTGCAGTTAGCCATGCTCTGAGCACAGGGCAAGAACAGATGACCTGCAGCTTGGAGAGGACTCTGACAATTTGATGTTGTTTTCTGTCATTTGTAAAGGTTCATTTCGTAGCAGCCTCACTGCTGCCATAATTCTTGTCCAATGTATAAAACCCTCAGTTAGTGGTTATATAGTGGGAAATATTCTTCCTGCAATTTATTGAATTTGAGCTGTACTATAGGAAAGAGTAAGAACAGTGCTGAACACATTAAAAGGAGGAACAGCAGAACTAATATTCTTGATTTTTGACAAAAGTGAGTTTCTTCTGCAAATACCATTTACGGTGGCTTTGAGCTGTCACACTCACTCGTCTGTGAATTAACCTGTATTCTTTCTGCTCCTAAACCCTGCTCTCAAATGAGGAAGCTGAACTTCACATGTTCCCTGTAAAAGGAGCTTTAGCTTATCTAAGTACACCTAAAGCTCAGACATTCTACAAATCTTTCTCCTATGTTAAAACAAAGCTCATGCTAAAAACATCATCCATGTGAGATACTCAGTGTAGAACAAACCCACATTTGGGCTGCAGCTTTTCCATGGGAAAGAACAAAGTTTTGCTCAACTAAAGCCAAGCTGACCTCCACACCATGGTTATTTGTGTACCCACTAAACAACTACAAAGGTAATGCACAGAATTCTGTAAACAATTTGATAAAATTCACTCTGGATTTCATATTCAGACAGATTAAGCCAGCTGGATGAATCCGGTAAAGGCGCTCTTCCTTTCAGCCTCTTGAATGAAGATGCCACATTATGGCTGAACATGAGGACTGCCTGCAACAACTCTTCCTTTGGTTATCTCCTTCCCATAGGATAATGACAATTTGGTTACTCTTTCTGTGAGCTCTTAAGTTCAATCTGAAATGTGCAAAGTGCCTATCTGTTTTCTCCCCCCACGAGGTTTAAATAAATCTGGCAGAGCAAATTTAGGCATAGAGGTACCTTCCTCTTTTACAGAGAATATCCAAGCACTCTGACAAGGAAGGAAATGGGTGGTTTCACAACTTGACCCAAATTGCTCTGCTAGCTCATGAAAACTAATATACCAAGTCCATTCCTATTTGCAAGTAATTTGCAATCTGTTTCTGTTTATAAGGACTTAATAAAAAACTCAGCTATGTTTACATAAGAATCCCAAATAATGTCTAGATCACGCTTCTTTTTTCCTTAAGGTTTTTTTCCTCTAAAAATAATCCAGAGATTCTCATACCATGTAATAAATTTTATAGTAGTTGCATATATGCAACAGGGAGCAATTTAAATCATCTCACAGAAGATCTGCTTATCACATTCTGCTCCAAAGACTGAACCTAATTGTGTGCCACTAACTTCCAAATTTGTTTGGGACTCCCACAGGAAGGTGCACACCACATCAAAACACAGGTAAGAAACTATTGCCAATGTGTCACTGTCCAGCTTCCTTGCTTTTTCCCAGCTGACCCTCCATGAGAGAAATTCTACTGTGGCAAAGTACGGTCGTGTTCAGAGTATGTGCTGCAATGTTATGAATTAAAAACTATCCAAACTTTCATAACACAGCTAGATACTGGGCAAAAAGAAATAAATATATAAACTGAAACCAACAAACACAGCAGTCTGGTTTTGGTCTAAAAAGCATTCTATCTCCAATCTCCTTTTCCCCATAACCAGGAGAAGCCCAGTGCCCCATGAAGAATATCCTAAGTATTGGCCAGAATACTGGCCAGAAGAAGAAAACTGATACCAATGTGTCTCTCTGCAATAGGAATGGTAAAAGGAAATGAAGCTTGAAAGGCACAAGGGAAACTGTTATTTGGTTTAAGCTGATTTTGCATCAAATGCAAGCGAAAGAAGTTAAAAAAAAATTTTAGTGGTTTCTTGGTTTAATATCCACCACAGAGGTAAAATATTATCTGCCTTTACTTAGCACTGCTTAAGCCACTGAACTTCCACAGGATTTTACAAAGTAGGGGAGAACAGATTGGCAGAAGCCACCATCATGGTTCTCCCAGTTTCCAGTTGACTCCCAAGAGAGACAACCAAGCATATTTTCATTCCTTTTCCAGATTTACTATATAAGCAGATGGCACACCTGCTACAAGAATGTCCTGCAACAGGAAATGCAATCTCACGGAGATTCTTCCTAAATATTTTGGAATATATAGTTTACAAAAATCAAGCAAAAACATACTTCAATAAAGCCCCCTTCCAAAACTTACTCATGTACTCTCTGCTAGCTATAGCACAGAGTACCAAAATTTGGGACAATTCCCCTCTCCACTCCATTAGTCTGGCCTTTCTTTATCTCTTCCAACAAGCTCAAAGGGAAAGCACATTCTCAGAGATGAAGAACCATGAAGAAAGTAGAGGATTTGGGACAAGGAAGTGCTAAATTTAAGGGGATTTTTGTGTTCTTACCCCATATGGCAGAATTTGTTTGTCCTTGATGGGTAGATTAGCAAGAACTAAATTTGAAACAAACATATGTAAGGTTTTGCTAAAACAAGATAATCATTATTGAAATGGTTCTCAAGTAACCATTTTAGAGTAATTATGTCAGTTCTTGGGGCATCTAATTTCAGCATTGCTAGAAGATAATCTAATCATCAGTAGCATCATCGAAAGAAAATGCAGCCATAGTAGTAGGAGTGGAAAGGTGCTTCTCTTCATTGAAATTCATACTTTTGATTATGAATAGTCCAGCTCATAATTGTTAAAACTTAGTGTTAGCCACATATTTTGTAAAATAATGTTTTCTTCTGACATCCAAATCCTTCACAAACACACTCAGAAAAAGGAACAGCAGAAAATGTTAAGATAAATGCCATTATCACACTTGGATTTAAGCGTAGGGCCGGCTGCGGTATGACAAGGGTTAATGGTTTTAAACTGAAGCAGGGCAGGTTTAGATTAGCTATAAGAACAAAGTCTTTTACAATGAGGGTCGTGAAACACCAGAACACATTGCCCAGAGATGTGGTGCAAAATTCAAGGTCGTGTTAGATGAGGCTCTGAGCAACCTGATCTAGTTGAAGGTGTCCCTGCTCATTGCAGGGAGGCTGGAACTAGATGATCTTTAAAGCTCCCTTCCTGCCCAAACTGTTCTGTGATTCCTGTCAGATCCCAGTCTATGCCCTCTCACTCTGATAACCTGATGACTACTTCTTAGTAGAGTGTTTCAGCCAATTCTACAACCCTACAATTGTGATTTAATCTAGATCCCATTTACTGGAATTGTTTACAGCAGCTGCATAGCAGAACAGCACAAAAGCCTCACTAAAGTTAAATTACGTTCACTGCTGTCCACTTCTACCAAGCCAGGCACACTAATGAAGGAAATTAGATCGGTTTGATACTGTTTGTCCTTGACAAATACAGACTGTGTTTTGTTCTGTTTTATTACTGCAGAATTTTATGTACTTAACGAAACCTTCTTTTACAATGGTAGACATTGCTAAAAAAAACAGTATTCTGTCCTTGTGTCACAAAAGAACTGTGAAGTCACACAGTTTTAGAAGATCAGGGCTAAAATGGAACAGTAAGATCAGAATTTAGCTTCTGCCCTTTTGTTGCTCAGATACTTTTTTAAAAAATGTTTTAAAATGTTCCACAAATCTCATAATTTTAAATGTCAAAAAGAAATAGCACAACATTCAGCAGTGCTGTGAGACAACAAAAATATCCCTTCAATGCAAATTGTAGTAACTTAGAAATTGTTTTGTTATCTACTTTTAGGTATGTTGTTACAAACTCCATGGAATTTCTGTAAGTACTTTAATTTTTATTTTTTTAATCTATGCAGATCCTTTGCAGATTTTTAAATTAACCTTCATATCAGTAGGTAAAGAATTCCTTACTTCATATCTGTAAGATTACCTATACTACTTTTATATAAACTACCAGGTAAAACATACATTTGCCATAGATATTTTACTGGCTGAAAAATATAAAACTCTACACATCACTAAATCTTAAGGTGAACATATTTTTTATCCCTCATTATCATGAGGGATAGAAACTGGAGATACCATTATTTGCGTATGCAGTCAGGGAAAACAAGGAAGTGAATTTTTAAAAGTTCAGGTTGAAGTTTTCAATCTGCATAAGCATTTCCTATAGATCAGAATATGTGGTGTGCAAGAATTGTTTGTACTTGAAAGTACTGATGAGGTTCTTGCAGTGTTAAATTGGAAGAATAAAAGAATAAAATAAAAGAAAACCAGCCAAGCAAAAATCACCCTCCCTGCTGTATACTACTTCGTTGATAACAAAAACCAACATCAGAGTATACAGAGAATCTACTGAAGAAATTACACTAATTATGGATAATGTATATGTGAACATAACAGTTCTGAAGTGAAATTCCTAAGTGATATGAGATAATGATTCAACTTTTCAAAAAGTTAACTAAAACCACATAGGAGTTCCATTTCTTAGAGGTAATGTTGTTTTATTCCCATTACTCATGGAGAGTAATGTTTCATCTCCCGTTGCTGTAAGAGGCACGTTGGCGTCTACTGATCAAGGAAACCCTGTTTCTCTTACTTCATCCATCAACAGGTTATCAATGGCTGCATTTCTTCTTGAGGAAAGCAAACACATCACACTTTTTCACAGAAAAGGGGTCATATGAGGGAATTAATGGAAAAATATATTGAAGATTGGACCCATAAAGCTCAAAACAAACATCTTTGCGATGAACACTGTCATGTGAATACTTTTTTGTAAGACTATTGTATTAATATGCCTCCCAGAAACTACTTTCCCTCTCACTGAGGATGTTTTACAAAAGGAATAAAAATAAGCACAGCAGTAATTAAATACTTCTATTTATTTTTTCATTAATATAGTATTTCTTTCCCCATACATAAATAAAAAGAATCACTAATAATTATTGAAGAGCTATCAAAATAGGGTACTATTGAATTTGTCGCTTCTTTTGGAAGAAAATCTGCTTTAGTATTGTTCCGAAACATCACTGATGCCTACAGAACAATGAACCTTTTCTACCCCAGCCTGAATTTCCATAACAGATCCAAGGCACATAACAGTGTATTAATTTTATGAACCCGTTTTAAGCCAGTACTGAGAACAGAAATATACCACATCAAAAGGTATTAAGAATTATTATTTGAAGAGAAAGTTCATTAATGATAAGGGCAGATTAGGCTATTGCCAGATGGTGCAGATTCTACTGGTAAAGATTAGAGTTTTGATTTCTTCTGAAAGAAGCTGACAATAGCATTTAAACACTCATCAGACAACCACCTCTCCGTCAGGACTTCACACTCTTTACTGTTGACTGCATGGAGCTTCTCCTTTTCCATACTTCGTAACAGTTGCTTTGACACTGCCAAGGACTGGAGGAGGAAAAGAGGAACATTAGGAAGTTAAGTATTCTATACTTTTTCTATACTTTAATTTAAAGTTTCAGAAAAATAACACAAAACCCACACTGGAATCCTAATCCAGTTGTATTAATATTGCACCTCTTAGCTTTTAGTCAACCTTTTCACTGGAAGTATTTATTGCATTTAATTACTAAAAGTGCTAATAAGGTGGAGGAGGCTTATGGAAAGCAAAACAGCAGCCCACTAAGTGCTCATAATCACAGTAGATGCCATAAGAAGTGAAACCCACTCCACTGTCTGCAGTGTCAAATGAACCCACATTATCAGCAGCTGGCACAGGTGTCTCCTCTTGTCCAATGTAACCTAATACCATTGTGACTTAAGTAGTTTTGCAAAACCTAAGCTAGCAGGATGACTGAATTCAGCAAAAACTAAAGTCACCTACTGTCATCTTGAGTGCACAGGGTGCACACAGTACAGTTAACGTTGTAGACCCAGTGGTAAGGTTCTTAAAAATAAACTATTGCCAAAATAAAAACCTAAGAGAAGGCATCCAAGGCAGTCATAGAGAGACTGCACAGATGGATTAATTAATTAGTTTTGAAGGATTTTCAGCCATTGAATCTCTGTGTACAGTACACTGTCTTAGATGCAGACAGAGTAGAAAAGAGGTATTTGTTTCCCAGCAGCACAGGGACAGATCTGTGCTTGAAGGAAAATATATAGAGCCTCATTATTTCAGTTAAGGATGGAATGAAACCAAGTGGTTTCATTTGGTAGGAGAATTGGGAGTGCTACAGGCTTACAAGGTGGAGAAAAATGTAAAATACTGACATTTTTGGGGAGGCTTGCATAAGCTTCTAATCTTGCCCAAACTTCCTTCTGAAAACTGTTGTCAGGGAAGACTTCAGTCACAAGTCCCTGGGCACAGGCTTCTGCTGCAGTCAGCTTTTTATTGAAAAGCAACATCTCACTTGCCTATGTGGAGAAAAGTAGAAAGTGTGATTCAACAAGACACAAAACTTGAGTAATCTGACAGGAAATCTACACACTTCCATGACACATTTATTTTACTCTCTTGCTCGTTAATATCTGCCCTCTGAAAAGAACACAGAATCACACAATGGATGATGATGGAAGGAACCTCCAGATACTGTCTACTTCAAAGCCCCTGCTCAAGCAGGGTACTTAATCCCATCATTCAGGCCATAATGAAGAGATTAATTAAGTATTACACCCAGTATCAACCCCTGGGCTATGCCACTGGTGACTGGCCTACAGTTCCTAATGTTCACTAAGAGTGTACATGTCTTTCTGAGCAGAGCTCCAAGGATGTAATCTGAAATTACCTCACCATAAATGTGTTTGTTCACTTTTGCAGTGACTCCAAGATTTCTAGAACATGTACTGGCAGGCTATGTCTCACTGAACATACTACTCTTGATACTTGGATGTTTATAAGCACTTGCTCTGCTCCTTACAGATTTAAACCCTGGTCAACAAAAATACACTGTATTGTGTATACACATGCATTATCAGATAAGTATTTAAAATTATACAGATTTTTTCTGTGGGATATCAAAAGAAGCAGTTTTCTCTCTGTTCTGAGAAAAGAAAATTTAGATTCTGCCATCTCTCTTGTCTTTTTTCCATTTTTTTTAATTACTCTTATTTAGTTTCCTTATTTCTAGAGTAGACAGAGAAAATAAGAGTATGGACAGAAGACCACATCTACTCTTACAGTCAGAAGACACCAACACACAAAGGTCAGATGATCCCACAGACAGTGCAGATATTCTTACCTTGGCTAAGCCCATGATTTTTGGAAACAGGTAAGAGGAACATCCTTCTGGGCTCTGTCCAAGTTGACTAAATGGGCTGTGAAACGTAGCCTGGGGAAAAAAAAAAAGAACAAAATAAAGCAAACCTTACAACAGAGCACAGAATTAAAGTACTAGGATTTAGTTTTCATTTTAAAGCTTCTGTGACAGAGTTAATCAAAGCCACACTTGAACTGTTACCATGATAGGCTTTAAATGTCATCTGCTAACACTGCTTCATGCTCTCAATGCAGGCAAGAGTTGGCTTTGTCTATATAATTCAATTTCCTTATCATAACAACCCCAGTGATGAAGTTACATTATCTGAATACAGCACTTAGAGAATCTAATATGTACATGCAAAATCTTTACAGAAAGGATGCTCATACACATCTGCCCTAAGTCATTAAATACATATTTCAAATAACTTAAAAGGTAAAAAGTATTTTTGCCTTTCTGAAGGCACACTAAGTTTATTCTGCTCCTGAAGAATTCAAGTCACTGAATCTTCTTTCCTCTAATTTTATGAAAATCTAAAAAGACCCTCCCTGTGCCAGAAATGCATCATGGGGTCACACAAAATAATACCATTTGTGGCAAGTTAGAACTGAACAGCAGAATTTTATGTTTCGACAACTCGCATCAAGTTTAGGCAAGAAAGACAAAATGCTTGCCTTTATTTCCATTTAAAAATATGAACTGATTACAAAGAGAGCAGAAGTTGCCAATGGAGCTTTCACTGAAACAGAAGGTTTTGAATCCTCTTCATGAATCTTCATTGAAAAAGAATCCCTTGTTATACTACAGAAGGCCACATGGTAAGACAGATCAACAGACTTCCTAGCAAGAAAGTGACATTTATAACACTGTACAAAAAGACTAGACAACATCTGTCAGGATGCAGACTGGTATTAGACATGCTTAAGCAATGGGAGATTAAATATTCTGGGGGACAAACTGGTGTCCCACGCACTGGAGCAAAACCCAGTGCAGAAGGCAACATTAACTGATCTGTTGTCAGACTGGGCTGTGCAGTGTCCCATAAGGTGGCTGGTAATGATCTGCTCTGGGAATACCTGGCTGAGAATAAAACCAGATCCTGAACATAGCAAAGCTGGCCATTTCTGGAGTGGGTAGTCAATGCTTAAGGCACTCCAATGAAACTACTGCAGAGTGTGAAATTAAGTAGTAATTTGGATGAAAATGACCTTACTGCATGGGAGTTCACAATCCTGGAAAGGGAAGAACAGAGAACAATCACCTTGGAGAAAGGTTTGATAAACTTGAGGTTAACTGGAAAATTTCCATGAAGGATAACCTAAATGAAAGGTTAGGTTAGACCCTACAGAAATACTCCAAGAACTATTACCAAGGGCACAAGCAAAAGCTGAACCAGTGCAGATAGGAAGGTACTAATTCAAGTATGAATTTCAAGCCATTCAAGAAAGAAGGATAATATTAACAGGACAAAACATTTAATGCTTATTTGGATTAAACTTCAATTAAATCTATACTAACTTACAGCTGTAAGGAGATATTATGCTGAGGGGAGGTGATTAGAATTCCAAATAGTCTTAATAAAATTGAGAGGTATAAGTCAGAAGACACTATTTAGTACAGATAAGTTAAAGTTTGTCAGGAATAACTTAGTATATAATATATGTTATACAACAGGAACAATTATTTCACTAACAACTTTACAGTTGTTACATCAGGTGTTATATCAGATCACAAGTACATAAATCAAATAACAATGTGGGATGTCAAAGCAGAAATACAGTCTGCAGAATATGGAGAAATTCTTCTGCTTCACTTTGCATGAGTAAGACATGAGCTGGAGTGATGTGTCCAGCTTGTACCACTGTGCTTAAAGAGACACAGAACAACTGGAAGGAGTCCAGAGGAATGTGACTGCAGGCCACATGAGGAAAAGCTGAACAAACTGCAGCTGTTTAGCTCAAAAAAAGAAAAGACAGAGAGAGTGAAGATAAACCTGAGCTATATCTAATAGCCTAAGTATGCTGGTGGCTAAGCATATTTACAGCTGTTGTAAGGGAGGATGAAAACAGTCTGTTCTTTAAACTGAGGAAAAAGAAACAATAGGTTCACCCTGTAGCAAAAATAGACTAGATGGGAGGGGCAAAAGAGGGAGAATCCAACAATTCTCTAGTAAAAAAAGAGATCTGGGGACCAGAATAGACTGAACAAACCACACATTATTACAAGCATGTCAGGAGTGCATCGGCCGTGAGTGATCCTGTAATGGATCACTTCAGCCAGCTACTGAACTTCTATTCCATAACAAACTTTTGCTCCCCCTCCCACACCTGAGAGCAACCTTACAAGCATCATTTCACATCATGATAGAAGAGAGGCTCTTAGAAAAGAGCCTTTAAACTGGAGACAGTAACTTGATAACCATAGTCACAGCAGGGAAATTCCATGCATATTAACCAGTGGTTGGTGCACCCCTGTGCTGGTAATTAATATAGGCATTTCTTGATGTGACATAAAATGCATTTAGACTTTTTTAAAGTGTTCTTTTCTCCCAAGATTACCCCAAATCAAATAGTATTTGCTAGAGAAAGAGGCTTAAAGACTGTCTTGGGATCAGCTCTGCAATGTACTTACCCTGTCAGAAGCATAGACAATGTCACACAACCCAAGGACTGTTACACAAATTCCAATAGCTGGGCCATTTACCACTGCAATCAGTGGTTTAGGAAAATCAATAAAATGACCCACAAAATCTCTAGAGAGAAGGGAAAAGAGAAAATGTAAGGTGCAAGAGACATCTCAAGTGGTTTTCATCCAATATAAACAACTTTCAAAACACGTGATTAGATACTGCATAACAAAATCCATGAGCTAGATAGAAACTGTGTAGCATATCTTTTTGACCCTTTCAGAAATGAATTCTGACAAAATAAGAACTATCTGAAACACCTGCATTTCCTTAGCAACTAAGAATCAAACGTACATATCAGCAGAGCTTTCCTAGTTCCTGCAATCAAGTTATGAAAGTGTTTTCCTCTTCAGCTACAGTTACTGAATACAGTTCACTAACAAGAACACTCTTTTGCCTATACATCCATCCCAGCTCCACCCCTGAGATAGCCATTCCCTTCACAGACTGTTCTGCAGCAAAGCCCCAAGAGGAACCAAAATTGCGATGTTACCACAACACAGAATCCCCTGCTGCTCTATTGCACAGGTTTGAGAAGGAGCCTTTTGTTTCAAAATAAAACACTTCCCAAAAGCAAACAGTGTTGTAAGAACTCCAGTTCCCTGACATCTCTGTGCATCAGCTGTAATGAAGCACTATGTTTGTGTAATAGTAACAGCACAGCAAACACAAGCTTCTCACAAGAGCAAGATCAAAGACCATAAAGCACACATGAGGCTCTACATTGTGCTGAACACCCTATAAAGCACTGCAGGTTGGAACACTTGCCAGGTACCACTGAGTAACAGCTTCAAAACAGGTTCACACTGCATCGTTATCACTTCGAGGGGTAAGTGTGATCCACAGACAGCTTGTCTAAGTAAAAGCTGAGTACTTTACTTGCAGTTCATCTTTAAAATATAAATAAAAAGCATTGGGTTTCTGTGTATTTTAGCTTTTCCATCAAATTCAAGTGCCTGAGGGAACAATCAAACTTGCAAGCATCTCCCAAATGCAATCATCACATACAGAAGTAAAAGAGAAGACAAAATCTGCTCAAGTAGGGAAAAAAGAAACATGCTGTTTGTCCCCAAAACCTCTGTGTCAGATGATACCCTGATCAACTTGGTCTTAGAAAATAAATTAGTTAAACAGATAAATTCACTTCAAGATGGAGCCAAGATCTCAGAATTACTGGGTAATTTTGAACAAGTTCATTCCAGCTGGTCTCTATTCAAAAGAAGTCTGTCATTGAAGGAATTTGACATGTCCTGCTAGTGTGGACACTGTTGGATATCAAAAAACCCACAATTTCTTTCATATAAATTTAAAACAATGATGTTGTCATTATATCTGGATGTACTTTGGGGACCAAAAAATGAAATGAAGTCTTCAGCATCACTGTACTTAAAAAGACTTCTAATATTAATCTCATTTATTTCATACAATTAATACTTGTTCCTCCCACATTATCTTTCTGTTTATGCACATGGTGAGCTCTTGGACACAGTCATCTAAATAGACGAACAGTAGCATAACTGGGTCCCTGCAGTTGTGTTTTCTAACAAAGCCTGCAAATTATATTTAACCCATTACAGTAACTTATACATATATGAAACCAAGATGTTCTACTTGAGTAATACTGCTCCATCTTTTGCCGCCTTCTCCATTTCACCAGGCTGGATATTAGCAAAATTATTCAGGTCATTTCCACTACTATAGTAGTCTCCATTTCCTGCAGAGAACACATATGAGTAAATGCACCAGTGGTTTCTGAATAAGTAAGAGAAGAGAAGCTTTCATTTATTAGATTTACAAAAGAAATTTCATACTAACCGTCTAACATTATTAAGCAATTGCAGGGATTTTCTCAAAGTATACACACTATCTTAAAGGACATCTGCAGCATAAAATGGAGTTTTGACTGACAATTTGCTGAAAAAAAATTCTTTGGCTGTAAAAAGCCAAAGAATATTAACTGTGAAATATTTGAGGCAGAAAATTAATTTTTTTTTCTCTAACAGCATCCGATGGAAAAATATTTTGTTTCTTTCCCTCTATACTTCCTCAGGGATTTTTTTTCTGTCATTTCGCAATCATTCTAACAGTTAGATGTGGGAATCTTTTTCTTTTGAACAGGACAACGGAAATGTAAGTTGATGCATCTCCCTTAATCCACCTTCAAACTGATGAAGGAATCAAAAGTGGACAGAATAACCTACTTCATACGAGGTAGAAGTTTCACATTTTTTGTGATCAGTTTAGGAAAAGGTGATCAATTTGTGATCAATTTAGGATAAGACTGGCAGTACTGCATTGAAATCATTGTACTGGAAGATGGATTCTTCAGCAAGAAACATATAACCTGTTAGTGAATGTATAAGTCAGTTTGAGGTGCCACCAAAAAAGCATGGAGCATTTTAAAGCTAGACTGCATGACTTAATTGTCTAAATCATCCCATATTTCATGAGGACATTCACAGGATGGGACCTTTCATGCGTTGGCACATCCATTACTTTACACTGCAGTGCTCTTATTCACTATGTAAAATGCAATAGAAAGGTTTGTGCAGAGGTGTTTGCTATTTACTCAGACACTCCAGTTGTGTGAACTACCCTTTTTATTTTGTAAGGGCTGTGGTGCCCAGTCATTGCTACTGAAAGGAAACCCAGGAGCCTGGGAATGGGAACCAGCTGCTGGTAAAGCAGACAGTGGAGACAAATATGCATGCAATTACCTCAGAGTAAGCAGGTTTAAGACCAAATTCACACTACTTAGCTGCCAGCCAAAGCTCAAGTTTTGGCTAATTTCCTAAAAAGACATACATATGTGCAATGAGGATGGGCCACGCAGGCAGTGCCTGCCCTCAGTCCTTCTGTTGCTGCTGACTGTCCTTGCCACCACGCTGTTCAGTCAGCATAAGAAACAGACCAAAAGAGTCCTCTAGAGAACCAAAAGGGTGTGTTCCCAGAGTAGCTAGAGTTCACAGGCAGCATGAGTTTGGGCTGCCCTTTCAGTACTAGTGCTGCAGTCATCCAGCTGCATACATCTGGTGACAGGGATGTACACAGCCCGGCCAGGTTGCAGCTTCCCTGGCCAATCCTTTCCTGTGGTAGCCATAGAAAAAAAAAGAGAACGAATGTAAAATACCTTTTTTTCTGATGATCATTGGTAAATATGCAGTGCAAACTTTCTACTGGCTCTGCCAGTACAGGATTTCAGATGCTTGTTTTAAGTGTGTTCCAAATGTATCACAGAGGTAGAGAAAATTGACTAAACTCATACCAATGAACTCCAAAAGCAGTAACAAAGATGCTGTGGAATAAATATATTAGCTACTCAAAAGTAATAAAGCCCTTAGGAGTATTCCATGTCCATATTCTCATCTGAGAAACACGTTTTGATGTAACAGCAAGCTTGCTAAAGAATTCAAAATGCCACCTTGAAGTAATTTTGCCAAGGCACTTTGGAAAATCTTTGATCTATAACAGAAGAAAGAATTTCCTTACTTACACAGTTCAATCTTAGCCTAAATACATGTAGATAGTTCATGTCAATACTATACTTTGGTATAATACAAAACATACCAGTAATAACTGCTATGGTGGAATCATTTTTTCCAGCTTCTTCAAGTGCTTTGATAATTTCTCTGTACATCTGCATAAAAGGAAAATCAACAAAGTACAAATGTGATGCTACAAAAGAACACAAAAATGAGATTGACACTGACAACAAGGAACTCAAGAGACAGATTAACTATGATCCTTTAAAGTACTGAAAAATTTTGCATGCACAAAAAGTTAAGTATTACATGTGAGGTACTTCTAACCATAAAGACACACACTTGCAATACTGAAAAATTCCAATGCAAATTTAAAGGACAATATAAGGTCCTTTGTTAAACAAACACTGACTGGAAGCTAATTTTAAAATTTGAGAAGTAGTTAAGTGGGCAAAATAACATACTAAAAAGTTAGCAGCAGTGGGGCAAAGACCCTAGTTCTGGTATCTTTGCAGTTGTTAAACACCATGATCATTATGCTTCCAACATGATGGACTTAGTCATGAAGATAACTGTGGGAAGTGGAAGATTACCTACACATGCATGCAACGGTGCAGAGCCAAACGCTGCACAAATGCTTCATTACACAGATTACAGTCAAATCTTGCATGCACAAAACAGGCCATGCAGTTTGCCATTTTAGTTTAGTGCAGACCATAATCCTATATTAAGTTTGAATGAAATCAAGAGACACAAAAAAGCCTAATCTGTAAAATTTTAGCTGAATGATTTCATTTTGTACTGGATATTTATTCCTTAGGTTGTCACTGGAGTCAGGATACCAGCCCCTCATAAAATTCAGACCACCATGTTTCAGTCAGTTCTTCTTAACCTGTAGTGAGGATTCTTTAAAATTTCAATAGTTTACCTGGGAAAGAAAAAATCATTAATCCTCCCAAGTTAACTTCTTTACCTGATGGTTGATGGCATTTTTCCTATCAGGTCGGTTAAACATTATCTTTGTGATATTGTTTTTGGTAGTAACTATTAATGTTTCATAGCCATCATGCCTGCCCTCTTCCGGAGAAGCATCTTTCTTCTGGCTAGCAGATTCTGCAGAGACCAGACTTGAGACAAGTTCAGCATATTTCTGCCTGGCATTATCCTGTAATAAAAGGAAACGAAAAAAAAAAAGAAAAAAAAGGAAATAAAGAAAAAAATATTAAAAGAATAGGAAAAAACCCACACACAATATTATGAAAGGCTAAAATGTAAATCAGTTATAGTACTAATAAAATGGGTACCTGGAGGGAAATGAGGGGGAAGGGGACTGTGCTTCAAGACAAAAGAAAATAAAAATCTCAATTAGAAAGCATTCTAATTAGGGGGGTGACAAGGGGAACATGTATTTAAACACTGCACAACAAGCTTAAAGTCATCTGAAAAGCAGCAGCGATAGATCTACAAAAGTAGAAGTGTATAAATGCTGGGATGATGAGATTTATTTTGTTGGTGAAGTACTCCCATCCACATCTAGGATGACCTTTGTCATATTCCCAGAATTTACACATTTCCATGGATCTTCTGTTTCTTCTTTCCAGTGAAACACTTCTCCAACAAAGCTTTTATTTTAGAATATGTTGGTCTGAAAATCAGAGTGCTAAAATGGGTCTTATGGCATTTTAAAATTGCTTGAAGACACTAGTTTTCATTTAGCACTAGCATGACACACAGAAGCCTAAAGAATCCTGTCTCCTTAGCTCTACATTAAACAGTGATTTAAAAGAATTTTAAGTTCTTGGTTGTTACAACCTATTTTCTTGAAAGCATAATATACTTTGAAAAATTTTATAATCCATAATCTGTAGCACATGAAATTGTCTATCCACTCTCCACTCTAACATCAAGACCAGATTCTTTTCCTTAAGTGTTTCTTCACTACTCCTAAAAGCAGGGCCATCAAAAAAACCCACAAAAATATTAAGATACAATTTTTTTTAAAACAAACAAAAAAAAAATGCAAAAAACCCCCTCTGTATTAAGGAATACCTTTGACTGACCTCAACAACTACTGCTGAACAGCAGGCCTAATGTAGCAGTAACACAGCTGATTTGAAAAGCTTGTTTCCTTCATTAAAGAATAACTGAAGAAATCTTGGTAGCTATATGTGATGTCAGACTTACTACAGTCTGCATGAAAAAGGAATGCTTATGTGTATCTGCATCTTTATTCTTCCTGCTTGCTTCACTTGACTTCTCTAAAGGTTATGAAAGGTATTAAAGAGGTCAAGATATACTGAGAAAAAAAGAATGAAGAGAGGCTCTCCATACACCACTTTTTTCTAGTCTTTTAGTCAACAGCATAAGAGATTGATTTTTTTAAAATGACGAAGTTATTAATATGCTGGATTCAGAGATTTGGGTTTTGTTGTAAGAGCTGAGAAGCTCAATCCATCTTTCTCAAAGAGAACAGCAGAATAGATCATAATGTGAAAAAAAGTATTTTCACTGGAAATCACGATCTATGTAAGATCTCTTACATTGATACAAGCTGGTAGTAATAAAGTAGAATTAGGCTTACACACTAAACAAAAATCTCCAAACACTGAAGCAGTGAAATGATCGAGGAATACAGTGCAAAAACATTTTGATGGCTGAAGCAAAGTTGCTCAACTAGCATGTAACAGACATCAGCCATTCACTTACAGATCAGGCACTTCGAGGTAGAGTAATCTACAAAGTGAAATTATAGGTATTGTCACCTGAGACAAGTTGCCAAGAGAATTCCATGCATCCCACTTGGCTTTCTTGACAAAGTCCAGCATACCTGGTTTTGGAGCATTGCAGGGACCTTCAGTAGCCTGAAAAGAGAGCAAAACAAACTTACTTAAACCCATGATTAAAGTTCAGATGCCTAGGTAGAAAAGACGATAACTATTCAGAATATTTATCTGACCTGGATACAGAATTTAACTCTGAGACAGGAGAAATACCTAGTAGTTGGACAATATTCAGATAGTTCACATACCATGAACTTTTCAGTGTCTGCTATTTTCTGACACCTGGTGCTGGGCTTTCACAAGTAGCCACCCAGTATGAGACACTGGTTTCCAAAACACTTAAGCTCTCCTACCTCAAAAACTGCAGAAGTTTTATACTTAGAAAGAAAATTACAGCCTCATAAGCTGTGCGAACAAAGAAACCATTGCATAGGATCTTTTAAGTTGGATCTTACTTCAAAGTTGGCTCTACTGTGAGCAAGAGTGTTTGACCAATTGAACTGCAAGAGTTCTGAGCTATCCTGAAGTATTCTGTGATCTGTTTTCCTGAGGAAAAGTACACTATCGGAGAGAAATATTTCAAGTGGGAGGCAGGAAAGAAAGAAAGAAATACATTTATGAGCTCACTATTAGTAGTTAGTAAAGCTACCTGGAACCATCACCTGTCTTTAAGATTTTATTTAAAGAAGCTATCAATTGCCTTCTTCAATATAACAAGCCACAGCCTGTAGTGACCCTGCAGCCAACCTTAATCCACAAATACCTCCCCAAATACCAGTACAAACCCCACTAAGGACCTGCAGCTATTTTTACAAAGGTCTCCCTCCATGCTGTAATAAAGGATAACCTTCATTCAAAGTGTGGTGGAATGGTTCCTTGAATTAAAAACAAAACCAAAAAAAGCCAAACAAAACCTACAATGACCATACTAAAAAAAAGAGAGAAGAAACCATCAGGAATCAACCTTCAAATGTCAGCACCATTATATTATAAGCACTGCTAACTGTAGATACAACAAATTTAAGAGGAAGTATACTCTTTTTTTCTCAGGCATAAGCCATTTTCCAAAGCTGAATCTATATTATTATATGGAAGGCATCACGCAATGGATGTAATTTGGCTCTATTTCTTTGAAAACAGGTTTCTATTCAAAGCATGAGTTATAAGAAAAAACAGGTTTGGCTTCCCTCAGAATTTAGGCAGAGTTTAAGGGGCTGGCATTTCAAGAACAGAATTCAAGCACTTGAAATGAAGAGCTTGTTAAGACAGAATACATTTGAACAGTCCCTAAATCAAGTAAATATTTTACAGGTCCATCCCCTCAGGTTATAAATACTCCTTACAAAATGATGTAAATCAGGCCTACCTGTTTAAACAGAGCATAGAGTTTCAACTTAGTTTCGTTCCCAGGATCCTTTTTCAAAAGCTTCAGTTGCTCCTGAGCCTTTTCAAAGTCCTTCTGGCTGACTTGCATGGTGGCTGCAGTCATGTGCAGGTGAACCGCTGGAACGCAAACAGCTAGTGTTCGTCTGTGGGTAAGTGGGGAAAAAATCCCATTACTTGTTTTTTGTGTAAGGCTAGGGGAGAAGCAAATATGCTGCTTTTAAAGACATTTAAAATATACATAAAACATACCTAGCACACTAATCAAAACATCAACAAGCAAGATACTAAAAATTACAAGAAAGTTGCTTTAGAAGCCTGCTTTCACTGCAATATAATTAACCTTTGGAAATTATCACTTTTTATTAGTTATTTAAATTTCATTCCCCCTGTACTTGGCACCTTCAAGAATGTGTTCAGTTTTGGGCCCCTCGCTAGAAGACAGACACTGAGGTGCTGGAGCATGTCCAGAGAAGGGCAAGAGAGCTGTGTCTGGAGCACAAGTCTGATGAGGAGTGGCTGAGGGAGCTAGAGGTTTTTAGCCTGCAGAAAAGGAGACTTGGGGGAGACCTACCTTTCTACAACTACCTAAAAGAAGACTGTAGCCAGCTGGCACTTGGTGTCTTCTCCCAAGAAACAACTGACAGGACAAGAGGAACAGCTTCAAGTTACACCAGGGGAGGTTTAGACTGGTGAAGAAATTTTCCTAATATCCAAATGAGTGGTCAGGCATTGCTGCCCAGGAAAGTGGTTGAGTCACCATCCCTGGAGGTATTTAAAAGATGTGTTTATGTGGCATCTGGGGACATGGTTTAGTGGTGGACTCAGCAGTGCTGGGTTAACAGTTGGACTCGTTATCCTAAACGCCCTTCCAACCTAAATGATTCTACAATTAACAGCTTTATATGCCTATGAATAGACATATTGACAGTATGCAACCTGTCTGTTCTTTGTGATCTTTTCAAGTGTGTGTGCTTTTATCTAGAAACACTTCAATTTGAAAGCCTGGTTCTCCAATCAGGGCAGCATAAGTGAAGACTAATTTCAAACTGTACTTTGGAAAAGGACTGGCTGTAAAACAGCCTGTAGACACTTAAGAAAAAAAAGGTGGTCAAAACATTCTGAGAGAACAACCTTCCATCAGAACAAGGCAATTCCAACAAAATCTCCCCCAAAACCACCAAACCCCACTCCAAAGGACCAAATCTAACCCAACTCTATAATGCTTTGTAAAAGCAGGTTTACTTCAACAGTTAGGAATCAAAAGCCAAGAAGTCTAATAACTTTGGCTTATTTCAAGAGGGCAAAAGCACATCATCACAGCATTCTCTTGTTAAATTGCAATATACATCAAGCATTTTTACTATTTTTAAAATGTTCTCAGTTTTTGTATCAACATTCCTCCATTTTAGTTAAAAATGAAGAAAAAAAGCCCAGCTTTTCCCATCCTAACTCACTGATACAGCTGTTGTCTTAGAGCATCATATATAATAGATTTCATAACCAGTCACGTTTGAAAAATCAATGATTACTTCAAATGAAGATTGATAGAATGCTTAATCTATTTAATGTTAATATTTCAGTTACAGAGCCATCATTTAAAAATCATACCTAACACGAAAACTCTCCCTTTTTATACACACCTAACGAGAATTTAAGAAATTCTACTGCCTACTCATAAATATCCTCGTTGCTCTTTTTTTGTAAAGAAAATTTATTATGAGTTGCAAGCCTAAAAGTTGCAGGCAGACAGTGCGAAGAATGCCAACTATGTGCCATCATTTTTATTCCTCTTTCATTTTATGGAGATAGCTTGTCTAGGTGTCTTGTAAAAATGCTTGTAAGATCTATTGGGTCTTTGTCCTATTATAGCTCATCTGCATTAATAAAATCTAGAGTTCCTGGTATTTCGGAGATACCAAGTTTGAATGGCAGACATGGAAAGAATTTGAAATTCTTTCAAAATGAAAGAATTCCAAAATCTGCTTCAAAATCTTATGCCTGTAAAAAGAAACCTATCTGAACAATATAAAGTGGACTAGGCTATCAAAAATGGCTGCAGGAACAGAAAGTCCTTTTACTTCAGTTGATCAGCTGTAGGCCTTAATTATTAAGATAGCAGTGCACCCAGACAAACCAGGATTAAACATCTGCCAGTTTAATTAACATTCAAACTGATGTGTTTGGAAGACTGAGTCAGAGTTTAACAAGTTCATCCCTTAAACAACTTGGATGCTATGTAGCCAACTTAGAAACTTCACTTCCAGGATCGATAAAAGACCTTCAACAGGAAGAAGTGTACCTAAACTGATACAGATACAAGGTTTTTAATACTGCATTTCTCTGATTGGTCTGTCCTGGAAGCCCAGAACATGACACTTACTTTCAGATCCTATTCCCAAACATGTTTTTGAAGTCACATTTACGGGAAGAAGAAAATAGGAGTGTGGGAAGGGCAGGGTTTGTTTTGGTTTTCCTTTGTTTTCCTCCAATTTTACTATTCATTCTTGGAATTACTTGAATGCTGCTGTCCCCAAGATGATCTGTGTATTTAGTACAAATTTTCCTGTCAATCTAGGCAGTGACTAAAGTGGATTCAGTGTGTAAAAATGGATCTATAGGCTTACACCATGTTTGACAATGTGGACTTCACTCCAGCCTGGCTGTGGCCAATATTATAAAAAGACTTTTTAAGACTCTCCTTTATATACAATTTGATAATGACCAAAAATTAACAAAAGTTGAGGATGAGCAGTTGAGGAGAGGGGAACAACACAGTAGCCGGTCTGAAGGTATGTACACACATATATTTACGGTTAAAGGTTTTCTTGCATTTAGCAGGTCACAAGTTCTCTTCCTTATTAAGGATGCAAAGTGGACAAGTCAGAAGAGGACGAAAAAACAATTCAGTGAATAAAAAAAATTGGGCTGGGGAAAAGTGGAAAGATCTTTCAGAAAGTCCAGATTCAGAGTGACTTTCCTTTGCTGTTCAGTTTTTACTTAGTTAAAAAATGTTAAGGCTAAGCTAATGCTATTATTTCTCTATTAAATTAACAAAGGATGAAAACACAAAAGAAAGATTAAGTTATTTCACATTTTATTCACCTTGGGCAGGACTTCATTCTTCAGAGGCATACACAAATAGCAGGAACAGAGCTCCTTCACCCCAGTTAGATCATAGAGCAAGGAGGAGAGGACTTGACACCTCTCAGCAGACACAATAGCATTGCCATCTCTGGGACTACACAGTGACACCATGCCAGAATCCCAAAGACAAGAGAAGAGGATGCTGTAGTACACTATGGGAATGACTTGCTCCCTCCATTTGCTGCTCCCCTGTTGTGACACTGAATCCTTCTTAGTCACTCACTGAGCAAATCCATGCCCCATTTTAGTGGCCATACAAGACTTTGTCAAAACCACACAAGGCAGGCAGAGAGCCTGGAACCTGACCTACAAGCCACCAGTGTCAAACTTGCACTTGTTTTAATCTAAGCAAAAAAAGAAGCCTAGGAAAGGCAATCAAAAAAACCCTCTGTATTACCCCTTCTCATCTACTCACTGCAACAAAGCTAAATAATTTCCTTCACAAAGTGTCTTAATTTAACAAGACAAATATGTTTGCTAAGGAGGGTGGGATAGGAAAAAAACAGGCTCTTCCTCTAAGTTATTACAACTTCGAAATTAAGAGGCTTCAGGCGAAAAGGTGTGGAAAAGAAAATAACAGCTCTTTGCTGAAAAAAAAAAATATATATATATACACACGCACATACATATATATATGTAACAAAACAGAACTACACCGTGACCGAAACTTTCACTGAACACAATTAAGCATTTTTTGCCTTTCGGCGCAGGTATAACCACAACCAGCACGGGGCGCCCGCGGGCTGCTCCTGCTTGCTGCGGAAAACCAGGGCTGCCCACACAGCGCAACTGGGAGCTGCTCCAGGCAAACAGGGCTGCCCACACGGAGCACAGGGAGCTGCTCCAGGCAGGCCGTCTCCCACAGCGCTCGCTCCAGACAGTCCACGCCGGGCCGGGTCCCCTTCACTTCAGCTCTGGGGGCGGCAGCTGGCAAGGGATGGAGGTGCCGGCCCGGCCGGCGAAGAGCGGGGAGACCCAAAAGCCCCACGAGGCAATGGCAGCCTCCGTGACAGCAGAGGTGGTGTGGGACGGCCCTCGCCCCCCTTCCCTCCCGGGGTGACCACCGCAAGGATTCTCTCACAGTTCTCTGGAGCGGGGAAAGGGGCGGGGACACACGAACAAGAGCTCCTCTGCTACAGCGGGGATGGGGCTTCCCTTAAGCGATTTAGCCAGTGTGCCGAAGTTAGTTAGCTTTTCGATAGGACAATCATTAAGGCCCGAGCTAGAAAAACAATGAAACCTGATGTTTATCTTACCCTAGCAGAGACTAGGCTCTCTGTGGAAAATTCACCAAAAAGTATGAAACTATAACACAAACCTTCCTCTTTATTGCCCTGCACCCTGTATGGGCAATTAGCTGCCACTGCCCCGCTGCTACAAATTACCTTTGCAGTAGCGACACCCATAGAAAAGTGGTGAGGGCCCGGCAACCTCACCCAGCTGGGTAAAAAGCCAGCTCCCACGAGAGAGAGAGAAGCAAGAGGAGTCACAACTTGGCAGAGCAGTGACAGTCCACGACAAATGCCTGCGCACTCCTGCAAGATCATTCACTGGGTAGTTCGCCTGTTGTACACTCTGAAAAAAGAAATAAATCCTGGTCATCGCTACCTGAACCTGAAACATCCAGGCTGACAATCATTTCATATTTATTTCCTTACTTCAGACATCTCTTTGTTGCCATTTAATCGTTCAGGATATCTTGGAAGCCCACCGTTCATCCTGCTCACTCTAGCTCTTCACATAAATGTCTCTTATCCCAAGAAACATTCAAACATAAGACTCCTAATTTTCAGATTTTAAAAGTCAGTTACACTGAAAGTAGTTTTTCACTGTTTAGGTGATTAACAAAAAGACTGCAAAGCCTGTTAAAGACAGGTCTCTAATTACTACATAGTTCTGTCACTTGCATAAAGACCTTATAGAGTTAAAAACGTCAACATTTTGCAAAATATTGACTGCTCACTTCCTAACTTTTAAAGCAACATAGTAGTTTTCTCAAGACTAAACAGAAGCCAGAAGATCTCTTTGCACACAAAACATCAGACACACTTAGCAAAAGAAAGGATGGATATACCTGAAATCCATCTTCCATTTACTTAATACAGGTTTTCTTTAAAACATTAGTAGAGCCTGGGGAAATAAAGCACACACAAAAGCAGTTAAAAATCCTATTAGAATTAAAAGCAGTGGGTGGTGCTAGAAACGTGGTTTTAAAACTCCTGATGGAAATGGAAAATGCTCATTTTACATTATTTTAAGTAGCTTTAGAGAGATAAGGAAGAAAAAGAATAGGAAGTGTTGTCAGACAGAAGCAAGCAGTACACGAACTGTCACACTCCTGGAGCACCTTTTGTCCATTATGTGTAATACTTCAGATAACATGTATAACAGCTCTTCTGTGACATGATCACTATCTCAAGGTGCTCTCATCTTTTGCGTTGCTCTTTCCATACATTCCTCATGCAGAACAGTGATGGGCACAGTAACCATCCCTTGCCATTTCACACACAGAAATGGTATTACAAGAACAAAAAGTGGCAATCCTTCTGCTCACGTTCCTTCCAATTTAGAAGAAAATTAAACAAAATACTGGTTTGCTGCTGCTATTGTAGAAAGAGTTGCATGAGTTGGTTTATGTTGTTTTGTTTTACTTTTTTTTTAGGTACAATACAAAGCAATCAACTACAAACCCCCACATGCGGTCGGCACAGCTGCAGTGCCAGCCACAGTGTCCAGCAGGACAGTGATGTGACAAGACAGGAGCGCAGAGCTGGCAAGGATCTTCTGAGCACAGCCCAAGGCTTTCCCTGTTGCCCTGTGAATCTTCTGACCACACCCCAAGACTTTCCCTGTTGCTCTGTAGTGCTGAGTTATTTTCCCAAAGCTTCCCACTTCCCCCTTTCCTATTCCTAGTCATTTTCTAGCAGGATGGAGAAGAGACCCCCCAGCAAGCCCAGGGTGGCCTGAGTGGAGGAAAGTGCTGTCCAGGAAAGCAGCTCTCCAGAAGAACCCCATAAGGTGGCCTGGACGGAGGATGGGGGTCCCCAGGAAAGCAGATCTCCAGCAGAACTCTACCAGGTGATCCTGGTGAAACCACCACAGATGCAGACATGTAAGAGGCCCTG